TGTGGCAGGCTGCATCTCCCAGCTCTACCTTTTCTTTGCCTTGGCTTCCACTGAATGTTTCTTGTTAGTGACTATGGCCTATGACCGCTACTTGGCTATCTGCCGCCCTCTTCATTATCCAACCCTTATGACACTGCAAATAAGTACCCGGATGGTGACAGCAGCCTGGGTGGCTGGATTCCTCGCCCCCTTGGTTCCTATTGTCCTCATTTCTCAGCTTTCCTTCTGTGGGCCTAAGGAAATCCATCATTTCTTCTGTGATGTTGGGCCCCTGCTGAGGCGCTCATGTGGTTCTGCCTTTCTCAGCTCAACACTTGTGACAGTGTTGGCCTCCATGGTCATCCTCAGCACTTGTGCATTCACCATGGTGTCCTACACCTTCATCATCTTCTCCATCCTCCGTATCCCTTCAGCCAGTGGGAGACAGAAGGCAGTTTCAACTTGTGGCTCACACCTCACTGTGGTGGCCATTTTCTATGCCACAACCATTTTTACATATGCACGACCCATCTCCACTACTGCTTCTGAGCTGGACAAGGTGGTATCAGTCTTTTATGCAGTAGTCACCCCACTTCTGAATCCAATGATTTACAGCCTAAGGAACAAGGAGGTCAGGGAAGCTCTGAAGAAACTGGTGAGCAGGAAGCAGGTGTTTGTGAAGAATATTGGAACTGTAATCATGGTTTGCTGGTAGAAAAAACTGCATTATACAGGCAAGAGAGAATGTACTCTTAGCTCTGATGTGCCAGCATTTCTCTTTGTGTGTATGGCTTGAATTGACTTCATACTGTTTTGTCCCAGGTAACCCTTGGAAGTATAATTGCAGGCATATGAAAAGCTAGGAAAATACAACACAATACAATACAATACAATACAATACAATACAATACAATACAATACAATACAATACAATACAATACAGTGCAGTACAGTACAGTACAGTACCGTACCGTACCGTACCGTACCGTACCATACCTTTATTGACATGTAAAATCAGTAGAATAAGAACTTTGTCAAGCTAAAATTACATCTATAAATCTTAGAGCACACCAATATTAAGAATAGTTTCTTGGTACCAAAATCTTAGACAAAGATTCAGCAATCTGTACAGTCACTTCTGGTATCTTATCAGCAAGGAGAAACCTGATTGCATTATCAGAATTAATCCTAGACAGTAAGGACTTAATCAAAAATAGTCGGAGATGTGAATGGAAGGGGCAGTGTAGCAGAATATGATCTAAGGTACCGGGTTCTCTAAGTGAGCATTTGCAGATTCTGTCACATTTTGGAATGCCGCTATATCTAACTGAGACCCAGGATGAGCGGAAAACATTGAATCTGGCCAGCATAAAGGCTATGTGTTGCAGCGGGATCACCAGATTAGAGAAGTTTTGGGCCATACTATTTGGTGCATATCTGAGGCCAAAGGAAAGGGGGGAACAAGTGCCCCCAGCACCAGCCTGGATTGTTTGGGCTTCGATGTCCCAAATTCTTTTACAAATCGTCCGGTATATAAAGGTCTCATCTTGATTTTCCAAGATGTCCAGGTCAATGCCAATTGAATGTATTTTAGAAGTTACCACTTGGATACATATGGGTCTATAGTCAAGAGTACAATAAGGCTATACTGAGGGGCACTAAAATGGATGTGGAGCCAATATTTAATAGTGGTGATCCATGCCCGCGAGACTAGCAGATGGGGACCCAGCTCAGCACAGAGAGAACAATAGGTAACAGAGTTAGGTAGTCCAAGAATGCATCACAAGAAGATTGCATAAGTTCAGTCAATCTCTTTATTAAAACTCTGAATCCACACAGGGATTCCATAAAGTAAGTGAAAGACTACTGTGGCCTGGAAAATTTGAAGGGTGGCCGGGACTAACTGGTTTCCCTACTGGTAATAAAATCTAGCACTATTTTCATCACCCTCACCTGTTAGCAGTCAGCTCTGTCTGGGTAGTTGGGAACTAGAGAGAAAATAAGGCCATATACCCTTCCAAATATATATTATACTTAAAACACTGCATTGTCCAAAGGTAACCCCAAAAGGTATAACTGGGAAGTTATTTTGATGTGAAAAACAAGGAATTGAATTGCAAAGAAATCTCTTCTATCCTTAAGGTAATGCATATTTTATAACAATGGATTTCTCAGGAAAACAGCATCCTACTTTGATAATGCCAATTTCATTCCCAATCCTGGCTCCCCCACTGGCATCTACACCCTTGTTAGCATATTTATAGCACCTGAGACGTGTCTTCTACCCTACACATTGAGTCATCAATGCACATCAATAGCCATATCCTAGCTCCAGGAAAGAGAGAGGCCTGAATCTTCAAGACCAGTAAATATATCCTATCCTAAACTACTCCCCCTCTCTACTTTCTTTTATTTCCTGGTTAGCTCTTATGTTCATGTTCATAGTGTGTTGCAATATGTGCTTCGGCATTTTATTACTGTTTAATAAAAGAAACACTATCAGTTGAACACAAGCCTGGTTCATTTGCGAGTTCTCTATGGGAAGAATCTCCATTAACAATGGTGGAGATTTTGCTAGTTGCTCTGTCCCCTCTTGCTCTGTCTCATTAAAGCTAATTTCCCATCCTCAATAAGAGAAAGCAGTTACATACCCAGTTACTGTTCCCTAAAACTGTGTCAGAGTGATATACAACTAATTTCAGCTTGTGCTATAGGTATAGAACGGATCCTGTGTAAGCCAGAGACACTAAAATCACAGGGGACCTCCCTCTGATTCTCCTCTACCTCCCCTCCAAGTTATATGCAGTTTGGACTTAGGGGATCCAGGTTATGCCCCCCCAAAGAAGATGCCCCAAGGAAGATGCTTTTGGGGGAAATGCCAGACAGTTTCAAAAATGCAAACTACACACACCAAATGCACAGGGAGCCAGCTGCTTTGAAGTTGTTTTTGGAGCCTGTTGCTTTGAAGTTTGGTTAGCATTTTGATTGTGAAGACAGTCTGAAAATTTATCCATTTACCAACTGCCATGAACCACCATTAGCCACTTAAAAGTTTGTGTAAAGTTCATGCTGATTGACCTGCCACAAACATCCAATCACAAACCACAAGTCAGTTTGGTGTAGTGGTTAAGTGCGCAGACTCTAATCTGGGAGAACCAGGTTTGATTCCCCACTTCTCCACTTGCACCTGGCTGGATGACCTTGGGCAAGCCATAGTTTTGATAAGAGCTGTTCTTGAAAAAGAGCAGTTTCTGTCAAGAGCTCTCTCAGCCCCACCTACCTCACAGGGTGTCTGTTGTGGGGAGGGGAAGGGAAAGGAGTTTGTAAACCACTCTGAGACACCTTTGTATAGTGAAGGGTGGGGTATAAATCCAATCTCCTCCTCCTCCTCCTCTTCTTCTTCACAAGCCCACCAAAATTAATCACAAAATTTAGTTAATGAGCCAGCTCATGCTCATCCCTTGTATCACATCATACTTTTCAAGAGTTATTCCACCAATCCCAGCTCAGTCTATTCCCCATTGGCCATGTTCTCATTCTTTCTCTTCTTACTTACTGTATTTCTGTTACCATTTGTAGTTATGGGTCAAAACTCAAGACACATTTTGGACAGTTATATAGGTGTGAATCAGGATATGTCCTTTTTAGACTGAGGAAGGGCAGGAGGTTTAAAGATTGTCTTACTCAGCTATGATTCATTTCATCAATACCCAGCATTACAAAGAGGGGAATCTTGCTTCATGGTTGCTCCAACTCAAGTATGGTTGGACTGAGAGAAACTTACTACAGAGATGTTGACCCTCTTGGCAAAAGTAAAACCATGTGTTACCACAAATGGTCTGCCTTGTTGTATGGGGAAATTAGCTAGGCAGCAGGCAAGGCCAGAGGGGTACAAGGGATCTGTACACATGTCTATATGAAGGTCAGGCAGAGTAAGAAGACTCTAGATTTGAAGAGTAAATTAAATAGGTTTTATTGAAGAATTTCCCTAATTACAAGCACACTAAGCATTCAAATGAGCAAGCAATACAGAACTAAGAGAGCAGAGGTGCTTGATAGTGAATAGAGGGGTCAGTTACGGGGTGATTGATAGTGAATAGAGGGGTCAATTACAGGGTGATACAACCTGTCCGGACATTCATGAGTCCATGGAGATGAGATTATGGCCCAAACCAAAGGTTTAGGGGTGAAATGCCCTAATTGTCATTAGGGGCAGACACAAAAAATCTGAGGCCATGTGCTGTGATGGAAATAGACATTGGAAAACAATGCAGACCAATGGAAGGCCTTTGGGGCTAGTATCAGGTGAGAGCAATAGATTTTCTATACTAATAAGGAATCCATGGAGGCATGGTACCAGGCAGAACATAACTCAGGAGTGACCAATGGTGTCCCAGAGGGTCAGAGTCATGCTTAACAATTGCTATAATGAGATCAAGCCAGGTGCTGGCTAGGTGGCTGGGAGCGTCCATTGTGGATCAATGGACTGGACTGGCATTTCCCTGTTGCCACACAAAAGAGGTGATGTTTCATAACATGTGGCAGGATGAACCTGAATGGGAGACCATTCACTAGATATGGAGAGTTAATGTTGACCTTGATAGAGCTGACATAGGTGTAAGAATGCAGGTATTTTAGGCAAATATCTGGAGACAGGAATGAGAGGATTATTCCAAAGTTATTTCCTAACATATAGATGAAACAGGAGAGGGGGGATGGAAGCATGCAATATACTTCATTCATGACAATAGTACAGAGGCTCTTTGTCCCTCCCTGCCTGTACATTTGACAGACAAAAGTCTAGCCATTTGGTCAGTAGAAGATGCCAGAGGCGAGAGCAGAGATTTGCCAATTTTAGTCCTTTTGGACTGAGCTCACAGGAGAGAACGGGGGGTTGTTTACATGGAGGATGTTTGGCAGTGCCGCCAGCCTGGAGAATCTTCACTTGGCCTGAGTTTTCCCAGCCAAGATGTCTTTATCCTAGCCTCCCAAGAAAAGACACTGTTTAAGCCAAGTCTGGCTTCATGAGGGCACTGTTTTAGGAGGTTCAGAGGTTGTTTTGGGGTGTCTCTCAGGAAAGACCACCCTGGGTTCAGGGCCTAGGAGGCTGATTACACATGGCCTTTTCTGGGTCAGAGAAGTAGCAAAGGAAGGAGAAACTCTTAATTCTTACTAACATAGCCTTTTCTGAAACTTTTTGCCGCCTCTCCTGCATCCATGAGTTAAACGACTTCTGAGCGTATTATTTTAGGATATGTGTTGTCAGATTCCATATCCTACAGAAGCAAATGTCAAGACTATTGAGTTCAGAGCTAAACACCTCTGCCATAGAGCCAAGAGTGGAGGCATATGAAGATGAAAACTTTTTGAGCTTTCCATCTCATCTTGCATCTAGGATTTCCTAGACTATAACTGGCAGAGAGAACCTGACAGTTACTGGGACTTTCTGCCTCAAATGTCACCTGAGTATAGGAAGTAGGACAGGCATATTGGTTTGGTAGGGAGGTAAAATAAAAATAAAAATAAATAATGAGAAGTGTTATTTCTTAAATAATATTATAATAAGAATAGCATTTTATTTCTATTTAATGCCACCCATCCCATTAAAACAAAAATATACCCAGCTATTCAGCTTATGAAACATCTGGAGCTACTAGAAACATTTTCTAAAATCCTACAGGTGACCAGAATTTCTGAGTCCACTTCTTCAGGGCT